GATCTTAAATGATCTCAATATAAATTTGTTTTAAAATGGTTTCCCATTTAGAAGAGCTTTGGTATTTTTAACTTCATATATTGCCTTGGTCCATTTACAAGTTTTCATCTTTAACATTCTCTCAAAGATTAGCATATACATATGTTGGTTATGGGATTTACAAGGGGAGCATGAAGGATGGAATGACTAGGCCACTAGCTGTTCATTAGTATGAAAGAACTATTAATTCTTAGTATCCTATTCTAATGTCTTTTTGTATATATCACCTTTATAATCAGGAGTCTTTTATCATGAATGATTATTTAACCAAGTAAAAGGAAAAAGGAGGGGTGGAAAAATGATGCGCTTAATTATAGAGGCTGCTCGAACAGGTTGTGGTGATTCTTTATATGTTTTATTCATTTTACACTTGTGCTTTCTTTCGGTGAAAACTATTCTAGGTTTTCCAGTCCTTGCACTCTGCATTAGCTTACCCAAACTTTTTAATTTCACTTTCGGAGGGGAATTGTTGCAAAGTTTTCTTCCAAGTATTATATAGACAATGGTTATTGGCTTATTGCAAAGTTAGTCTTACATTCTTTGAATCATCATTCGTATGAATGTGTGTGTCATTCTTTGCTAATTGATGAGTTATAAGTCTGTGAGCTTCCCCGTTAAGATGAAACCTAACTTAATTTAACTGATTCAAGACCAGTAACTTGATGACTCTTTATTAATCTCCTTTTTAGTTGAACGAAACTTATCTGAAAATGAGCAAAAAACAGTTTGGTTTTATAGTGAACTCATGAATTACATGGCCATAATCTTTTAATTTACAGTGTTATTGCTTTGATATAAATTCACATGGCCGTATTTAGAGCATCCGCAATGCTTGAATGTGTAGTCTTAAAAAAATATGACAAGTGTCCAACGAATAATAGGCTTTCTAGTTTCTAATACCACTAATAGGAAGTCCGATGAGTAGATATTAAACTACTTAAGATGCCTTCAATGAACATCTCACGGCCAGTGTAATGTCTTCATGGAATTTAATACTATATTTTTTTTTGTATCCATCACATGGTAGCCTCCAATCGGATGTTCTCGCAGCCACTAAAATGAAGCTTTCAACCTTTTCTTTTACACCAGACAGTGTTGAAGCATTTGTCCCACACCGGAAAGCTATCAAACAATTAAACACTATATAAGGCTTTGAGTTACTCCTTCTATAAGGGTTGACCTTTTAGATGGAACCCCGAGTCTTAACATGGTATCAGAGCCAATTCCGGTTGTGGTTTGACGGCTTGTTTTAGCACCAATGATTAAGGGTTGACCTTTTAAGATGGAACCTCGGGTCTTAACATGGTATCAGAGCCAATTCCGGTTGTGGTTTGACGGCTTGTTTAGCATCCATGATTAAGGGTAGCTTGTTAAGGGTTTGTTTGGCCTATTTATACACCCCGGTATTGTCCAGCCCGGTTCGGGCTGAGGGGGCGTGTTGAAGCATTTGTCCCACACCGGAAAACTATCAAACAATTAAATGGGTTACTCCTCCTATCAGGGTTGACCTTTTAGCATAGAACCCGGGTCTTAACAGGCAGAACGGTGAACGATGGAAGCACCAACATCCCCTGACTGGTCCAAAACGATGAAAACATTAAAATATGAACATCCTGCTTTAATATTTTGCAGTTTTTTTTTGTTTTTAATGCTTCTATGTATGGGTTACGGTGATGCTATTGACACGAAGACGAAGAAGTCGCCTGATATGGCAGATGATGATTTTTAGCACCTCCACAACTTTCATTTGGACATCCGTCTGCTTGGTCAAGTGTCCTAGGGTATATATCAATGGCTGATATTGATAAGATGGGTAAGCGGCAAAACAAAGCTCCAGATGATCCAAGTTAATCATTTACTCTTATGTTTTTTTCTCATAGATTGATATTGATTTGGAAGTCTCGAGTATTGTTTTAGTGAACATTGTCTATGATTAATTATCTTTGATTCATTCATGTTATTTGTTTTAGACCGATATGTCTCTGAAAAATAGGAAACCAGTTTGGGTATTCCTTTTGTAATTTACTCCGTATTGTTTAAAAGGCGAAGCAAGATTTTATAAGATTTTTAGTATTCTGCATTTCTGCGTCTGTTCCGTTTGTTCTATAAACACTAATCAAACTCTTTTCACCATTAATATGCATATATAAAAGATTATACAACCTTAATAAAGCGGATTACCGGTAAAATTGTTAATTAAAAGGAAAGCTAGACGAACCAAAACTGCAATTTTTTTTTTAAAACAGTAAAATTGCTAAATAAAAGAAGCTAAAAAGGATCATACAATCGCAATAATAAATCTTGATAAAGTTAAATGTAAATTAGATCGATGACAATGGCCTAATGTTTATGCTCTCTCAAGTTTCACAAAAAAAATGCAAAGATTTGTCATTTGTGATTAGTGTTGTACAAAATTGATAGGTATTTGTTTTTTTATATAATCCTAGTCCCATTAAACTTTGCAAATTTAAAGTTTGTAGAGAAATAGACAAAATCATAAATTAATTACTTTAATGGGAAAGTGATAAATTTGTGTTGAGCAAAAGGCAAAATCTAATTGGACAGAGAGTATAATTTTGTGAAATCTTTGTTCTTTTTTGTTTTCATTAGGCTCCATATTTTGGTTTTGCGCCTTTTGACTTTGACCTTTACTTTCTTTAACCGGTGGTTCAACTGTTAATGCCATAATAATTTGTATGATTAAAATCAAAGCTCCTTAAAAATGATTTGAAGAATATGTATAGTTTTATACCTCGGATAATGTAACTATATACTTCGTATGAAAGTTATAAATCTAATAAAAATCATTTGTATTCATCAAATTCAAAATTTAAATTAATTTATCGAAGTGGAAGTTTTACCTTGCTAAAGAAGTAGATTATATCCCTTATAACTAAACAACTCCTCCTCATTCTATGTGTTGCCTATAAAAGGGAAGCACCACACTTTTCATACATGAGGTCGTGAATTTTGATTATTAATCATATTTATAGTCAATCGTAATTGAATTATAGTTGAAGGAGATGGACAGAAAAAAAGGAAAAAGTAGAAAAGTCAATTAAGAAGATGCTCGGACATGTAAGAAGAGGAATAAATGGCCAAATAGCTGGGGCCAAAAAGAAAAATAGATGTCCGGACAGATTGATGAAAAAGATGAATAGATTACCAAAGAAGAAGACAAGTTATTTGTTTTTTTTAACTAATAAAACGATGATGTGAGTTCGGTACACCCCGTGCGCACGGTGTAACGATATCATGGTATAATTTGTGTACAATTCAATGACCATTAATAGGAAAAGTGAGTATTAATCGTTGGAAATAGTTATCATCTTCCTCTATGTTTTTTTTTACCTCTTTTTATGCATGAAAAGTGGTAAATGGTGATGCCTAGAGAGTAACAAGTTATGGTTGAAGGAGATAGGGGTTGGACATAAAAGAAGAAAAGCTAGAAAAGTAGATTAAGAAGATGTTTGGACATGTAAGAAGATGAATAAATGGCCAAATAGCTGGGCCGAAAAGGCGAAAAGAAGAATAGATGGCCACACATGTCGATGAAAAATATGAATAGATGGCCGGAGAAGAAGACACATTATTTGCTTTTTTTTTTAAAATTAATAAAACGATGATGTATTGAGTTCGGTACACCGTGCACACGGTGTAACGATCTCTTGGTATGATTTGTGTGCAATTCAATGACCATTAATAGGAAAAGTGAGTATTAATCGTTGGAAATAGTTATCATCTTCCTCCATGTTTTCTTAACCTCTTTTTATGCATGAAAAGTGGTAAATGGTGATGTCTCAAGAGTAACAAATTATGATTGAAGGAGATGGGGGTTGAACAAAAAAGAAGAAAAGTTAGGAAAGTCGATTAAGATAATGTTTGAACATGTAATAAGAAGAGGAATAAATGGTCAAATAGCTGGGCCGAAAAGAAGAATAGATGACCAGACATGTCCGTGAAAAAGATGAATATATGGCCAGAGAAGAAGACAAGTTGTTTGCTATTCTTTTTAGTTTAGAAAATGATCTCATATTGGGTTTGATACTTCGTGCGCACAATGTAACCATCGCATGGTATAATTTGCGTGCAGTGACCATTAATAGGAAAAGGGATGATTAATCTTTGAAAACATTTATCATCTTCCTACATGATCTTTATCCTTTTTATGCATGAAAAGTCGTATATGGTAGTAGGTCTTTAGAGTAACAAGTTCATCCAAGTTGAATGTTCCATACAAAGAAATTAATAATAGTTCGTAGTTATTCTTGACAGTTCCATGTAACAAGTACATTTTTTCATAGCATGATTTTTTCCATTTAATTTCTATCATTTATTTCTTAGTTTGGTATTACAATGACATCTTACTTTAAATTTTTTTTTATGGTTTAAGTTTATTGGATCACTATGAAGTTTGTTTTCCATTTCCTTATAATTGCTTCTATACTATTACTTCACTCGTGTGCAACACACGAGTGGAATAACTAGTTACCCAAATGAATTAAAGTAATAGAATCAATGACTGAAACAAAAAGGACAAATTTGTCTAACTGTGGAAGAAAAGGGGTGCGCCCAGGAGGTTCGTAAGCAAAATTAGGGAGTGTTTGCAATTGCTTCAACTTTAAAAAAGTACTCCGTAATTTTTTAAAGTGATTTTGGGAAAAGTGATTAATAGTAAAAGTTGATAGTATTTGAGAAAAAAGTGATTCTGAAAAAATAAAAGTTGGGAGTGTTTGGTAAAATAAGTACTTTTGTGTAATAGAAAAAGTGAGAAGCAGTTTAAAACATCTTTCTACCTGCTTCCAGCTTTTAGCTTTTAAGTGATTAATTTAAGGAGCTATCATTTAAAAACACTATTTTCAGTTTTTTTAAATCAAAAGTTGAAAAAAGGCTTTTTTTTTTAAAGCAAACCACAAACACCCCTTTAGGATTTAGGACGTGCCATCTGGCCAATCCCGTCCATCCCTTAACAGCTCCCCTTGACTTCAATTTGACTTCCATTTGACGCTCTCAGCTGAAAATACCAGCCCTACCGCGGCTTAGTCCGATATTTGATATTGACCTCTTACCGCCCTAATCCGGCCGCACCGGACGGGAAACGCACGCTAAGCTCCTATTATTGACCTCCTACGGAATGCACCCTTCGACACTTCAAGCTGTAGAAGGAGAAGCTGTAGAAGGAGAAGTGGTTACTCTGGAAACTAACCACTTTCCTATTGATTTTAAAGGGAAATTCACTATATTTGCATACAAGGTTAGTTTGTGTTGTACTCTTTTAGTTTAGTTTCATAGGTTCATACGCTTCTCGTGTTACTGATACGTTCTATTTTGCAGGTTTCGATTTATCCGGATTCTGCCAAACAACATGTATGGGAGGATATTCTTATGGAATTTCATAATATGAGGAAGCTGGAGCAGATTGGTATGGATTTTAATGATAAAGCTTTATATTCAGTAGGAGCTATACTTACGGTGAAAGATTATCCAGTCACGATTCATGAAGGGAACAAAAGGTAAGGTGCTATTTTAAGCCAATATACTGTGTAGTATGAACATAAATTTAATCTTAGACTGACACTTCTAGTAAAAGGAGTTCTTCAAAGTCCCATAAAAGTTGTATGTTTGACCTGCTTGACCTGTTTGCCGTGTTGGCGGGTTCACTAGTGTGACTCTGGACACACTAATTTTTAGAACCGTAATCTATTTTATTGAACTGTTGTTCCATTCTAAAATACTTTTATATGCACCTATGACAGCCTCTTAGGGTACGTTTGAGAATTAGTTTTTAGAGGGTAGGGTGAGTAGTTCTTTTACTCTATTTTTTGTTTGGTAGTTTAGAGAAATGAAGAGATGGTTTTGGACTCTTCTTGTAACCCTCCAATCTCCATGGCTCCAAAGCCCTTTAATGCTCAATTTTTAAATTATTCAAAATTGATTTTTTTTGAAGTATAACTAATTAAATTACCACTTTTGTCCAATTTAAAATGATTACATCATCATCATCATTATTACCCAAGTGCCGCATAGGCTCCCACCTATGGTGGGGTAAAAAGGGGGTCAGATGTACGCGGTCTTAGTCTTACCCCTATACTAAAGCCCAAAAAGATTGTTTCCGGATGACCCATAGTGAAAATTGCGTCCAAGGACTGACTGCTACTTCATAACAAAATGCAGACAGTTTAATGATTACATCATCATCATCATTATTACCCAAGTGCCACATAGGCTCCCACCTACGGTGGGGTAAAGAGGGTCAGATGTACGCGGTCTTAGTCTTACCCCTGTACGAAAGCCCAAAAAGATTGTTTCCGGATGACCCATAGTGAAAATTGGAGACAGTGTAATGAGCCATTTTGCTTTATTCCATCATATTGTCAAGCCCCAAAATAGTAAGTCTTTGGCTCCATTCCAAATGATGGAAAGCAATTTAAAATGATGACATGTTCAACTATTTTGAATACGCCGTACCCTTGATGCTAATTATAATCATCCACACTTGCTTTCCAAGTTTGTAACTCCCAAACAAGAAGAAGGATTTCCTTCACCCCTCCCTTCGCCCCCTACGACTAACCTTCAAAGTCTTTGTCCCCCTCCCTCCCAAACCCTCAAGCATACCCTTAGTCTCATGGTGTTATCGGTTGTTTCTTCTAACAACGTTTAATAATATAATGAACTTTAAGACCTTACATGGAAATTCAACAAACTTTTTCACATCGGACAACGAAGTTAAAATCAGCTGTAAAATTGCAATACTCATTCATATCCCTCAAAATGCTCACTTCTCCCAATAGTCTAATGATTTTAAATTGAATATTAGATTATTTAGTGCTTCAAATGGAACCTTGGATATTGATCCTTTTCTATTTATATTTCATGCTCGTTTTATCATTCTAATACTAACGTGCGTGCTGTATATGGTAAAATGTTTATCAATGTATGTCTTTGTGTTCCATGTAGTACCGCTTACACCGTTAACATAGAGCAGTCATGGGTTGAAAGCGTAGCAGGCAAAGAGTTACCATCGCCTGAATTTGCACGAGCTCTTGACTCGATCATGCTACGATTCCAGCTCAAGAGGTTCAAATTTTGATCTAAAAATTCTACACACATATTTAATGATATAGTTTCATTGTATTATATTTTTTAATTTCAGCTTCAAATCTTTGGGAAGCTCCTTGATCAGAAATGTAGCTTATAGCCTCGGTCATGGGGTATGTGCAGTGGATGCTTTTCACCAAAATATCCGGCGAACCGAGAAAGGCCTTTGTTTGATTATCGGTATAATTCAATAATTAATATCATTCTATAACTCTCAATCACTAATACTTTTTTGTTGATTTTACATGAATTATAACTAATGCTTCAATTATTTGATGCAGATCTGTTAAGGAAACCCACTTTTGAGTCCATTATGGTGTCTGAATTTGTAAAGCTTTCGTGCTCACTGGAAACTTTAGCGTTCCCGCTTGCTGATGCAGTACACTCTAATGTAATATCTTTGATTGTTTTTACAATGTTATGAATTTGTGACATTAACACACACTAAGATATATTATTGGAGGCCTATTTTCTTACATATTACTAAAATAAATGCAAAATACAATTATATTACTTTTTTTGAACTTTCCCAAAAAAATGACTAGGTTCGCGAAACATGACCTTTATTTAGCATTGTATTTAATAGTTCAAGACTACATTTATCACTTCAAGACCACATTATTATAATCCTTGTTTTCTTTCTGGCCACCCCCACTCCAGCTACCGCCGCAACTCAATTGCAGCAACCATTAGTTGTCTTAATACGCCACCATCGGTGACTTTGCAGCAACCATTAGTTACCACTCCTTCACCCAAAAGCCTAAAAGTGACTGTAAAAGTCAAAAGTTGTCTATGACCCGTTCAGTCAATAAAGTCTTTGCCATTAGCTACCACCACTCCACCCAAAAGACCATCTATGACCACATTTCCTATCTGTAGACCTGTCATTGGGCCGCCGGATATGGGTCAGAATCACATATTCTGAATCTGCATTTGGTAAACTGATTTTGTTCCAGACCAGGACACATATACCCTACAGGTCCAAAAACTAGAATATCTACAATTTGTTGTGTGAGAATATGTGTGTGTGTATATATATATAATTATATATATAGGGAAAAGATCAGGTGAGAAGTGCCCCTTAAAATGAGAAGTGAGAAGTAATCTTAGCCCTTGGATTTGCATATGATTTTACAACACAGTAAACTTATAGACTAAATACAGGAACTTATAACCAATAAATCATAACTTATAAAGCTCTCCATAATAATCACGAAAATGCCATCGCGTAAAAAAAATTCCAGGTTTCTGTAATTATTTTTTTGCGGTGGCATTTTTGTAATTATTTTCGAGAGGTCTATAAGTTATGATTTATTAGTTAAAAGTTCCTATATTTAGTCTATAAGTTTAACTTTGCAGTTTTCAGCGTAAGAGCACTTCTCACCTGATCCGCTCCCTATATATATACACATAATATATATATATATATATATATATATATATATATATATATATATATATATATATAATGCAATTTGCAATCTCGTATGTAAGTTATTTATTAGTCATTTACTTCATTAGTTCCGAGACTCCATAACAAATTCAACTCTTGTTTGTTATAAAAAAAACTCTTCCATCCTCTCTTTTCTATGCAAAATAGCTGGTACGTCGTGAGGTTGTTTCATTCTCATCTTCTTCCCTGTGCTGCCATGTGCTTTTCTCTGTATTTTACTTGTTATTCTTTCTTGTTGACTGCATGCTTTATGCCTCTTTGTGCAGTTGTACTCCTTTGCTTTACTTCTTTGCATGCTCTATGCCTCTTTATGATCCTCTTAGTGATGTTTTATATTTACATGGGTGTAAGTGTAAATGTGTACACATGGGTGTATAATAGTATGATTTTCCAATCTTCCAAAAAACATAGGTTTAAATATGTAAATCAAAGGATTTGATGTGCTAAAAGTTGTTCTTTATTGTGCTGCCAGTACACCCATGCTTTCTACACACACACACACACATTCCGACATATATATATATATATATATATATATATATATATGAGTTGGATTTATTGTATACTTTATTGGATATTATGTATACTTCTGCATATTTTTTTAGTACACATTCTATGTTGTTTATAATCTGAATATAAGTTTTGGCCTTGGTGTTTAACACGTATCTGGCTACTGCTTGAATATTTATTTATTTCTTTGTGATTGATTTTGTGTTTATTAAGTTTGCTTAATGTCTTATAATGTTTTTGATATTTTTTCGTTATTTTTGGGTAGAGGGTTTCATGCAAAAGTAGGTTAAATATAGTTTGACAAAGTTGTATCATGTATGGATGAGTTCCGTGTGGCATGTGCCTCCGCCTCGGGTAAACTTAACAAAAGGCCTCATGCCGCCTCACGCCTTTAAATGCATGAAGTTGGTAAACGGTCTCCGGTCTGACAAGGCCGGCGTATCAATTGGTGGCGGTCTCCTAACCGGGAAGGGTAGTGGTCAGTGAAGTGCCTTGAGAGAATAGAAGATTATGGTTGAGAATGAGTGTATATATAATGGTTATTGTGGTAAATCATACCCACCTTTTGATCACCTATCTGTCCAAAACATATCTGATCATATTTTTTTTCTTTAAACAGCTAGAAAGAGTTTTAAAAGGCCTGTGGGTTGAGATTGAGACCTCTTGTCACCCATCATTGAGAGGACAAATCACAAGTTTGACTCGTGTTCCCATTAACGATGTAGTGTAAGTTCATTTCTATTGCTTTTAAAAAGCTGTTTATTTCCTTCTATATGGTTCTAACCACAATGCAACATATAATCTTGAATTAAACTGCTCAAAGCTTTAGTTTCTGATTTCTTAAAGTTTATGTTTTGCATTTGAGAACATATAGTCAATATGGTGAGAGGATACGTTTATAATTATTGACAACAACCTTCTTAAACGAGGCATCATCATCATTATATTATTATTATGATAAAAAAAATATAATAATAATTGTTATGACACTCTGTCGTAAAATGTAAGACATGTTTGGTTTGGCTTGAATTAAGAAAATATAGGAGATTCTTGTTTTTTTACAATTTGAGCTTCAAAAAAAGAAGAAAAAGTAGTACGACGGTACACAAAGTAAAAGGTCTAATGATAGATAAAAGCACAAATGGGACCATCTATCTTACAAATGGTACAAAACGAGCGTTAATGTAACTGGGAGTAAACCAATGAAATGATACCATAAGAAGACTACTATGATGGAAGATTGAATCCCAAAAGTATCAGGTTGTCTAGACTTGTTTTGGTAGGCTACACTGGATAGAAGTTGCACTAGACAACTGGTTGCAGAAGACTTCTCTCCGGCGAATTACTTTTGGAACTTTAAGATTTTAGAGGATGGAGTCAGATCATCCAATTTTGTGAATATCCAAATATGATGACTTTAAACTGTCTGAGCAAAGGTGTCCATAGGCAAATTGAAGGGAGGGACAATCTACTGCCTCACATTGTCTTGGGTAACTATGATATTTTTAGTCTCCAATTAGGCAAATTTACTGAAACTAATTTGAAGTTATTTTTACCCACATAAGTAACATTCATTCTGGAGAATTTGGTGTAAAAATGGTCAAAATCCAGTGCAGAAATGGGAATATATCAAGTATCAGTTTACTGTGCTGACTTTTAGGCCACAAAACAAAGCCTTGTGATTGTTTTTATGACTTTGTATTCCTTTGATGATAATTAAAGTGTTCAGTATTTATCCAGAAATAACATTGTTTGATTGACCATATTACAATATGCATTTGTAGTAAATGTTTTGTTTTTGTTTTTAACGTTTACATTAATGTGTCAGGATTCCTGGAGAGGATAAATTTTCTGATAATCTAAAGCTTTGCTCGTATCTGTGGGGAAAGTACTCCATTACTCCAGATTACCCTTCTTTGCCTGCTATCGAATTGAACCATGACTCCAGGCAATTTTACATGCCGATGGAGGTATGTAATTACACTAAAATCATATTTATCTTGGGTTTCAGTTAATTGCCTGGTTGCATTCTCTTTATAAATTTGTATGCTAACTTTGTTGTTTACAGTTTTGCAGAATTTGTGATAGTCAAGAGTGCTTTGATTTAACGAAGATGCAACTAAAAAAGATGAGAACCTTCATGCTCCAGAAGCCAAACATCATACAGAGAACGATTACTAAGGTCTTATTTAAAAAGCATGTTTGTTCTTAGGGATTTAATTTATTTTTTCAATAGAATGTGGTGTTGCAAACTTACTAGCTGTCTTAACTATCATTCATTTACAGATCCTGAACGAAAACTACTTTGTTCATACAAAGCAGTTAAACATTAGTCTTGCTATTCATGAAGAGCAAACACGTGTGCAGGCACGTGTTTTGCCTGCACCCTGGGTATGATTTCCAACTATTATACCGTATTTGCTTCCATATACATTATTTTAACTTGCTATATCATTTTTAATGTCAGTTGCAGTACTTGAAACATGATGTTGTGACTGAGATCAAGCCCATGAATGGAAAATGGGCTCTAGACGGCTTGGTAACTTGCAAGTTCTATTAAAATTTTAAAATATGTTAGTTTTATATTAGTTATTGAAATATGCTAATTCTATTATTTTTTCCCACAGTCATTAGTAGATCCCAAGAAAGTTGGCCCTTGGGCATGCATACGCTGGAAGAATGATTCCAGTCATATTGATTCATTTATACATGATCTTGTCCGTATATGCACTGCTTTAGGGATTGTAAGTATAAGTATCAGTTTGTACTCGTAGTATATTTAAAAGCTAGTAATTTAGAGTTGAGTAATCACTAAAATTTAAAACTCGTATTAAAGTTTTGTCCAATTGTGGAAAATGAATTAAATGATGCTGCACTCATGATATTACATTTAATGCGTAATTTTTTAGTCAAATGTTTTGTCCATGTTCATTATATCCTCTCTAAAGCTCAAATTGAAGATGACTTAACTAAACCAATTGATTGATCACAAATTCTTTATTTTGGTCCAATATTGTTTTATCTGGCTTTAGTCTAGCCGTCCCTTCATCTTGCGGGGCGTGTCACGAATAAGTGAAATGATCTCAAATAATGTTATCTTATTTTCTCTAATTTTAACTAACTTTGTAACCAACTCTTCTATGTTATTTGTAGACTTAAATCAATAAAACCAGCAGTCTAGCACTTTCCATGAATTTCTTTATAAAAATCTACTCCCTTTGTCCCATTAAATTCTTCCCGATTTGGCTTGGACCGGAGTTTAAAAAAGTGGGAGTAAAGTCAAAATGCATGGTTGTGGTTCAGTAACAAAAAGGTAAATGAATGTTAGCCACACACAACTTTCCAAATAAGAAAATAGGAAGAGTTTTATGGTACAGGAGTAATTCTTTTTTGCTTAGTTGATTCTATATGCTGAAAGTCTACAAACCGTTAAACCCACTCTTATTTACTCCCTCCGTCCCGCAAAGAAGTTTCCACTTTCCTGATTTGGATGTCCCAAAATAAACTTCCCACTTCCTTATTTGGCAAATTATCTACATCAAAACAGTGCAAAACAGTGTCAAACAGTGATGAAACAATGTCAAACAGTGACGAAACAATGTCAAAGCAGTAAATTTTACCACTCAGTAACTTTATTTCCTTAAAACGTGTGAAAGTCAACCCGGGAACTTGTTTCCGGGACAGAGGGAGTATGATTATATGCCTCATCAATAAAATTTTCAAATATTGTCTTTTCACTTATGTAGAGTTTTGATGCAAAGGATCCAGATTTTATGACATTGGATCACACTGATGATATTCTTCAGCACCCATTACTTGAGAACATGTCATTAGTTATTGTGGTTGTACCAGAGTTGCACATATCGTCTGACGGTGGTTAGTGATGCCTTCAAGGTTCTTAAATTTAGCAAATTAAGTTTTAAAACAGTTAGGTGCTCTTTACATGTTCTTTTTTCCTCACAGGTGAACTCCATAGAATATTGGATTGTAATTTGAACATTATCTCATATGTATGCAATCTGGAAAATGTCGTGAAGTGTAAAACAGAATACCTTATTTCGATTGCACTCACGATGAATGCCAAGGTTTGTACAAAGTTGATTGTATTGCGAAATGCCCTAGGCGTTTATAATTTTACTATGTTTATTTCTACATTTTCTTAATTAATTGGTCTTTTTTGCAATAATTTATGTATTAGCTTGGTGGACGCAATATTTTATTATCAAGACCAATTCCTTCTATGGGAAAGGAAGCGACAATGGTATTTGGAATCTCGAGAAGAAACAAATCTTGGGGGGTAAATTACATGCTTCTTGCATTAGATTTTTTACCCTTTCTTTAATATTTATTTATAATGGCCAATTGATGAATCACATGTATTTACAGGTCGTTGGCTCAATGGACGTGCCGGGAGCATCAGTGTACGAATCTTATTATTCAACGATGCCTGGGGGCCAACAACTCGTGGGGATGATACAGTTAGTTTGTCTTAATCTTATAATATTTTGCACAACTACTTGATGAAATTGGTGAGTTGGACGGAAATAGAGAACGTTTGGTTTTATTTGATTTCCCTATCTTATCTGCTTAGTATACTGCATGAGCAGATCAGTGTAGCTTAATAATTATTATTTTTTTTTTTTGCATTTTTATTAGCACAGTTTTGGGGGGCTTTCGGTGCATGTTATTAGCTTTGTAGTCTACTTGAAAAGACTAATGCCTTCCTAGTAGACTACTTGAAAGACTAATATATGCTTAGGACACTATTTCAAACCAAGGGGCGAACACTTGCAATTTCATCAGCTACCATGGATGGCCGACCACTAGACAACAAGAACTTCACCATTCAAGCCTTGGAGGGTCTTCATCCTGAGTTCTAACTTCTAAGCTATGGAGAACTCCATCCGAACAATCGATACTAGTTTTGAAGAACTTCACGCTTTGCTGGTTGGATTTGAAGACAAACTACGTCAAGCGGAATTTTTAACTCGTTCTGTGTTGTAACTATGAACCTAGAAAGGTGTGGTTCCGTTGTAAAGACTACTCAAAGAAGTCCAGACCATAGTACTTCTATATTGATAGAACCGAACCACACCCACACAAATACTGTATATATTGAATTATTGATTAATAAGAGCCTGGAATACAATAATGAGGATATACGTAAGTAAGAACCGGAGTAAAAACGCAGGAAGTAAATACAGATTGAGACCAGTTCGAGAGGGTCTCTCTCTCCTAAACCAGAGTTCTGCCAAATCCAGAGTTCCAGACTACTTTTCTCTCCCTATTCTAATACACTTTATTCCTTTGCTTCAGCCACATGGACACCTCCAATAGCCAGTTAGGCCCCCACTCTCCTTTACCGCCAGTCAAGATCTCTTTTGCCCCTATGGTATAGACTATAGAGTTTAGAAATCCTGGTTGGGATTAATTCTAAAATTAGATGGGCTCATATCATCACCCCTCCCTTCAAAACTCACCTTGTCCTCGAGGTGAAAAGCTGGAAGAGTAAGGTGAAAACTCACCTTACTCTTTGAAGTCAGGTAAGTTCTTCTATTGCACTAAGATATCCTTCCTTCCAGTAGGAGTCATCCTGCCATCCTGGTGTCCAACACCTTTGCAGATTGAGTTTGCAACTCCCATTCCTCAAACGAGCAGCTCGATAGAGGCTGGCTAGGAATGTTAGGGGCCACAGTTTTCTTTAACAAAGAAACATGGAAAACTGGGTGCACAGCACACCCTTCTGGCAGTTTGAGCTTATATGTCTATCACTTCAAAAGGCCCGTAAAACCTAGGGCTGAGCTTCTGATTCATTCTTTTGGCCCCAAGCTTTTCAGCTTATAAGGTTGTATTTTTAGGAAAACCATGCCTCCCACATCAAGTTCAACCTCTCTCCGGTGTCTATCTGCTTGCTGCTTCATTCTATTATGTGCCTCAACCATCACCCACAGATCTGAGATAGCCTCAAATTTTCAACAATGTAATAAAACCATAAAGAACTCTTTTGAGTCTTTTCAAAGAACTTTTAAAATGGTTTACTCTCATAGGGTGCAAATATGTTTCCCTAGAGAAATTCCTTGCCTCATTTGGTAATTCTCACGTACAGACCCCTCCCTATACCCCTCCTCCCTATACCCCTGAACATAACGATTTTGCTGAATGCCGATATTTTCCTATTGTAGAAACATGTAGAAACATAGATCACTTAACTATACCACTCTTCCATGCCACTAAAATATTGGCCGTACTTATTATGAAAAACATTTTCAGAAACCTCCGAATTACATAAAACTTGCTATTTTCGGGTGTCTTTGTTTTCATTGGCCACAACCTTACACAACTCATAAGTTAGAACCACAATCTAAAACTTGTATTTCCTTGGGTGTTGCAATCAACAAAGTGCTTATCGCTATGACACTATCCTGATCCTACTACCAATCATATCTTCATTAGTCGACATGTGTATTCAATGAGTCTCTTTCCTTTCTCTAACAATCTGACACCGGTTACGAATTTATCCTCTAAGATTTATAACTGTCTCAAGCCTCAACCATCTCTTTCTTATCTTCCTATTTCAGATACATCACTAGCAAAGGCGTCTCCCGTTACTCATACCCCAACCTAAAAAGAGTCCCTTATTATATCCATGTCTAGTTGTCTACCCACACTCCATTAGACCCTCACACAACTATTACCATCCACCCACGTCCAACCTTACAATCCTCATCACTTATCACCGCCGGCCCAAACGAAAATCATTTAATTTATCGTCCAACTGAGTTATGGAGCTCTAGTGATCGAACATATCACATTTATCACCGATTAAGATCTTCTTACCACAACTAATATCTTCGTTTCTACACCCACTAAACTTGCACTCCATATACGCAACTTTGCTTCGGGCTTAACTCAAACTGTTGCTCTACAGGGGTTGCCGCCATAATTTCTCTGTAACACCTGATCTCTGCACACCAATCAACACTATATTCTCGGCAGATGATATATGCTCTACAGAGGTCCCATAATTCACTTCACGAGTTCATTCATGACTATAGTAAATTACAAAAGATTGAGAGCCGAGCTTTGGTGTAGTCTAACGTGCTGGGGAACGTTGGAGTCCTCCTTAAACTAGGTTGATATACTCATGTATTGATAGGGACCTACCTATTAGAATAATATTAGAAGTAATAATAATAATGTTAGTAATAAGGGGGTCTCTAGTATAAATAGATGTAAAGTGGGAATAATTGGGAGGCTTTTTGGGACTTAGGTCTTGGGACTGGGAAGATTGAGAACTATTTCTCTCTCTTTGGGGGCTTCGGCTCATCTGGGGGCTTCAGCCTTGTTACTGTAATCGATCTTCTTCATCAATACAAATTTCAGTTGTTTCTTGTTAATTTCCTGTTAATTGTTCTGGATAGTTGGAAGATCCTATCATTGGTATCAGAGTCGTCGATTCACTGTGGATGTCCTGACGCGCGCAAATATGGAAGCACGATGGGATAACTTGAAGAGGAATCATCAACGAACTATGGAGATATTGACAACGATGATCGCCAGATTGGATGCGAGAAATCAAGATCGATCGCGAAATAGATCGCATGCCTCATCAGCATCGCATCATACTTCGCACTCTCACCATTCGCTTCATTCGCGAAAGTCCGTTAGTTTTGGAAAGTCGGAAGAGAACAGGTCGCACACTTCAGGTACGTCGCATCAAGAACCGAAGCTTCGCAAGGAACCTGGAGATCAATCGAGCAACACCAGGCATCATCGTCTATCTGACAAGCAGAGTGCGTCACCACCGCTAACCAAGCCGCAGAAGGAGTCGCGAACTGTTCACTCTGGTTCGATGTCGCAAAAGGCTTCCAGCGGAAAAATGGTGAAGCTCGCAGAAAAGAATGAGCGCGAAAAAGTGGAGAAAGAGAAGCGCCAAAAAGTGGAGAAAGAGAAACGCCAAAAAGTGGAGAAAGAGAAGGGCGAAAAAGTGGAGAAGGAAAAGCCTTCAAACCTGAAGAAGAAGCCCAAGCTGCGGCAAAATCGTAGGCGAGGAAGGTCAAGGACTGTACGTCGCGGCACGAATTCGAAAAACATAGGTCCGTCGCAGTCACAAGATACTTCTTACGGTCCTCTGGCTTCAATTCGAGTAGAAAACCCTAGTTCGAAATCTCTATATGAGTTTCCAGAGTCGCAACAGGAGTTGGCTATTCAGCAGCACACCAAAGGAGAAGAGGAACGCAATGATAAACCATCCGTTAATCTTCATCCTGAATATGGAGCAGTTGTTGGATTCCCCAGACGTAAGATAATTTCCAAGAACGATCTGGACCAGTCAGACCTTGAAATCGATAGGTTCAAGCTTTTTCAGGAAGGTGCTATTTCTTCTCATATTGTACAGCAGATGAATTGGCCAAATGTCTTCAAGACTGAAAGAATGTATTGTCACTCATTAGATATTACATTGGAAGGATTAAACATGTTTGATATTCCTAGATGGGAAGGGGTTACTTCTATGAAAAATATTCAAAAAGAATTGGTGAATTATGTGTCTATGGAGAAGTATGTTGCTGATTCTGACAGCAAGGATCAAGTTATTACGGGTGAAAAGGGGATAAGAGTCCAGGGTGTCAAAGCTAAACTCAAAACTGAACATTCTATGAATTCAGCAGACATAGATGAGGAATCTAGTATGGTTGGAACTGAGGAAAGAGTTTCTATAACCTCATTTTGGTCAAACTATTTCCTTCAACAGCTAAATGATGACCGGAGAGTGTCTGCTTTAACTTCTGCAAAGTTATCTTTTATCAAAGGATGTTGTGATAATCTAGAGGAGCGGAACCTAAAGCCTTGCAAAGAATATAGGAGTATTGTCCTGTTCCTTACTGCTATGGTCAGAAGAATACCAAGGAAAATGAAGGGTTATTCTTTTATCTTCATAGAAGTTGTTGTTTGGAAAACTCGCAAAGAATGCTGCTACATCAATTGGGATTCTAGGCTTCATGATTTCTCCAACCTGAATAACAACAGCAAAGATTGGATTTCTTTTAGACAAAGCGGACTGCCTTCATCGGACAGGCAACGAGGGAACCAAAGAATTATGGCTGATGTACTTGGTGAAGAAGGAACTGATTTTGTATTCTCATCCACAAAGTGTTGCTTGGTTTCTGTGTTGTTTCATATCGGCAAAAATGGTGCAATTTTGAAGATAGTTTGGGTTTTTCCACTCTTTGTTTCAAGAAATCAGGTAAAAATGGATTCTCCTTTTGAGGAACAAGCAGTGGTAGAAAGATCTAGATGGAATATGCCTGTGGGAGCTGTTTGGTGGAATGATGTTAGGTGTACTCAAAGTACAGCAGTGGATGGCATTGTATTGCTGAAAAGCATTCTGAAGGTCAATCACAATTCTGATGAGCACATTAAAGTGGAGGTTCAGGACATGAACACCAATTCTGCTACTGTTGTAAGTGTTATAGCTCAGGAAAGCATGAAAACATCAATGGATATGGAAAATCTGAAGTCTGCAGAAACATATGTGAGCTGGAAAGTTCAAGTAATGAAGCTACAAAGCCATCAACCAATCAAGTATTGGGAAGGAAGAGGCGCAAGAAAGAAGAGGAAGCGGAAGATCATAGCGGTTTCCTATCACCCACCTTGAGGGCAAGGTGGATGTTTAGGGGGGGAGTATTGATAGGGACCTACCTATTAGAATAATATTAGAAGTAATAATAATAATGTTGGTAATAAGGGGGTCTCTAGTATAAATAGATGTAAAGTGGGAATAATTGGGAGGCTTTTGGGACTTAGGTCTTGGGACTGGGAAGATTGAGAACTATTTCTCTCTCTTTGGGGGCTTCGGCTCATCTGGGGGCTTCAGCCTTGTTACTGTAATCGATCTTCTTCATCAATACAAATTTCAGTTGTTTCTTGTTAATTTCCTGTTAATTGTTCTGGATAGTTGGAAGATCCTATCATGTATCGATGATGTAATCCAATGTATCCATGATGGTGTTGGTATACTTACATGATATGCATTTTGTAGGTAATGCTTACTAAAGAAATTCTCGAGGTACTCTATTATACGCCTTTTCTAAGTCAATGAGCATCAAATGCAAGCATGGTTGTCAATGGCGCTTGCGCCATGAGGCGCGGAAAAGGCCCGCGCCATAAAGTGGGCTGTGACGTTGGGTATACACATGGTGTTGCCATTGTGTCGTCATCGCCATTTTATCTCATCGCCATGGTGATGCATAGGCTATTTTAAAAAAACTGCGGACATTTGGTTTGGGATTTTGGGGCTGTTGGGCCTGCTGAATGCTAACTTAATAAAACTAAATAAAACTTAATATTTTAGCCCATTATAAACACACAAAGCCCATTATTAACAACCCTAACAAAAAAAATAAACAAAGCCTGCGAAGTGCGGACAGTAGAAGTTAAAGATGGTAGTCTGTGACAAAAATTTCTTAACTTGGATACAACTCATAACATTCCCTAAAAATTTCTTAGTTATAACATTCATAACTAAGAAACTTATCAAAGCTCTTAAACAACTTAAGTATAGCTTTAGTTAAATCCTTCTGTTGTATAAAAAAATAGCTTTAGTTAAAACTCTTAGGCTTCAATTAAGTCTAGTTGTTTATAGCTAAAAAACAATTCGCATTTGAGGTTTAGTTTAATTTAACTAAGTAACTAACTGAAGAACAATAGTTTTGTTTAACTAACTGAAAGAGTTTTGACTTTATAGTTTATGTTAAAATGAAGTTTTGACTTTATAGTTTTTACTTCAGCAGTTCAGCTAACTTTATAGTTTATACAGTTATAAAGTACTCTTATAACTTCAGTTTACAAACAATTTTCTTAGCACATAGCACTCTTAAACTGTATGTTAGCAGTTAGCACTTATAAGTACTTCATAATAATATAAAGTTGATGGATGGTGTGCCATTGCTATCAGGTTTAGACCAAGATGATGAGGAGTGTGATGATTGATGATGGTTATGCCATAATCATCAAACAAAAACAAGCTAACAAGCCTAAATCCTAACATATTTTGCAAGACATGAAACTTTTTTTTTAATATTATCTTTTTGGAAGTGCTTTAAACTATTTTAACCTCACATGTTTTACTTAGAATGTTGTTATTCAACCTTTTTATCATGTTTTGGTGGTTGGGTTGATGAATTGTAGTGTCTATCATTCATTTTGAAGTTTTTTTTTTTGTCACGTTGCGACGCCATATTTGCGCCATCGCCATGGGAAATGGCTTGTGCGCCATGGATTGCGCCATGTCAACTATGAATGCAAGTCGTTGTTTGTATTTCTATACTTCTCAACAAGTTGCCTAAAAAGGTGAAATATCTCGTTTGTTGAGTGACCTAACATGACCTAAAAAGCCTTCTGAGTCACTCGATTCCATAGTTTCATGGCATGAATCATATGGACACACTTCTTTCTTCCACCCACCTTTCTGAGGATCTCTTTAACTTTTGAGGTTTCAATTTTTCCCATAAAATTCCGATATACCATAGAATCTGGTATCGTATGATCAATATCTTGCACGTTACTCCATTGAGCAATGTACCAAAATAAAACCACCACCTCTCTTTTATTTCATCACCCTCCGTAAGTATTCATTGATTGACATCCTACCCCACTTAACGTTTTCAATATCTTGAGTCATATGATCTCGAAGACGATTAAATCTATTTTTCCCCTTTAAGAGTCTTATTTTACACACATCTCTTTGTTTACTTCTCTTCATGCTTCCTTCACGGCTCTCTCAATTTTTCTTTTAGCTTTCTCCTTTACGTTCTCATCACTCTACTTCTCCAAAATTTTGTGTTATGTTTTTTGTTCCTTATGGCTTGCTTCACATGCTCATTCCACGATGACGTGTCCCTTTTCGTGGCAAATATCCATTAGATTTCCCAAGTATCTCCTTTGACATTTTGTTAATGGTCTGGTCCATTGATAGCCACACATCGTCTAAACTTGCGTGTAAAGCTATGATATTGCTCCCCTCAAGCTATGATATGTGCTTCTTACCTCGAAAGTCAAGCATGAGCATGAATGTAGTGAATGACTTTCAAGGAAAAAGTAGTTTTAACTTGAACCCTCTCTCTTGTGTTCATATGTGTGTATGTGCACATGTGAGTTTATCAAACCACATAAAATTTTGACCACAACAAAGTTTTGAGAAGTTAAAAGTTAGTCCCTCAGTCCCATAAAATTATTCCCAATTTGACTTGGATCGGAGTTTAAGAAAGTGAAAATGTATGTTAGATACACAAAATTCACCAAAAATGGAAATGAGAAGATTTTTTTGAGACATCCCAAAAAGGTAGGTGGGAAGAATTTTAAGGGAAACGAACCGAGTTGAGCCCGAACACTCAAAGCTCGAGTTTGGCTCGATAAGGAATAAGTGGTGTTCGCGTTCGAGCTCGAAGCTCGACGAGCTTTACAAATGAGGCTCGTGTTCGGCTCGATAGGTGTTCGATGTTAGGACCGAGCGCTCGATAAGTTCAATAAATATGCTCGATTTTAAAGTTTTAGGTGATGCTCGTTAATGTGCTCGTGCTCGAATGATTCGACAATTATTCGGTTCGTTAATAATCATATTTAAATCCATAAAATCATACTAATTACATTTAAATTTTGATATATATATTTATATATATATATATAAATTGTATTTATAATTTTAGGATGTTCGATAGGCTAGAGTTCGAACCGAGCCTAATACTACTATGCTCGAGCTCGGCTCGATTATGTTCTCGAACATAAAACTCAGCTCGGGTTCGAGTTCGAATGCTCGTTAAGCTCGGCTCGTTAGGTTCGAAACCGAGCTCAAACTCGAATAGTTCGATAAAAGCTCGGTTTGTTAACAGCCCTAACTGAGGGAGTATTGATTAAAAAGTAATTTCACAACAAATTCATTACACATATGGTACTTTTGCTTGCACAACAGTTCAGATTAAAGCTTAATATTAATGTCACTTCACTTTTGCAGTAGTCTCGTGAAGCGCTATTTCTCTAAAAATCAAGCCTTGCCACAACGATTGATCTTCTTCCGGTTGGATTATTCACAAGTGCATTTCCTTTATGAACTTTATTGATTTCATTTTGTTTATGCTAATAAGTTTTGTAAATGGCAGAAATGGAGCCAAAGAAGAAGGTTTACAAAACCTTATAAGCAATGAGATTTTGCAAATAAAACAGGTGTACTAGATTACGATTTTTTAATTTTATGTTAACGGTCTTCTGTAAAGATTTGTATTTACATAAGTTGTTAATATTTAGTTTCGGGATCAAAGCTACAATGACATTAAGATAACGGTTGTGGTTGTCGATGAGAAAAGCCACTGTCGTTTTTTTCACGACGGGGGTATTGTTCGAGCAGGTATGAGATCTGAATTTAGGCTCTGGGTTGTGGATACTGTTTTATGTTTTCCATTTTTCATTCATTATATTTTAATTTTATAATCAGGGACTGTAGTTGATTCACAAATATGCCCCCAAGATGATTTAAATTTCTATCTGCACAGTGGCAGTGGCGTCAAGGTAATTCTTTTAAACTGATGTTAGAACAGCACTCCAGAACACAGTAACAACACACTCAAACTCAAAGTTTTATTCATAAAACTCAAAATCAACGTCGGGGAACAATGAAAGATAAAGAAATGAAATAGCAGAAAATAAAAATGAGATCTTTTGAGATGATCTCGCTCTCCTAGTTCCGAACAATTCCCAGATGTCCCCCCCTTCCCTCTGTTTTTACTTCTTTCTTTCCGCATGCCTATTCCCCTCCAGTCAGTCCGTTACTTTTGGCCTTCTCTTCCATTCTCTGGTCTTTTACCTTCTTGCCCCTTCTTTTATAAACTTTTGAAAAATCCCTATTAGGATTTATTTTGAATAGGGCAGTACCAAGGTAGTCAAAAGTAAGTGCCTGAGCGCTTAAGCGCACCAGACGCAACACAAAGATGAGGTTTAGCGACTGAAGAATGGCCATGCGCAGCTCCCTGTCTAAAGCGCAGTTTAGATGCACAAGTGCAAAGCCAAGAAAAGCGCATGCTTAAGTCGCCAGGGCCGCAAAAGGCTTATCAGCCTCTTTTTTTGTTTGATTATACTAAGCCCATACTGATAATAAGATTTAGCCCTGTCCAAGTAATAGGTAAAAACAACTTAAACCCATATTAAACCCTTATTAGTCGTGGGAAACGTCTTCTATCTCGAGTCTTGACTTCATCGTGACTCTCCTATGCTGCTATGTGCTCTTCTTGCGCAACATGCTCAGTACTGAAACATATTCAACGAACATAGTTTTCATGCTCAGCCAGAAACCCATAAGGTGTCTTCATCATCATCTTCCCATGTTCTTTCTTTCTTTCTTTTTCAGCTTCTAGTTTTCATCTATTATGTACTTTTCTTGGTGATCCTTTCATTTTATTCGTTCAGTCTATCTTCTTTCTTTACTTTTATCAGTTCCAATAATCTATGCATACTTTATAGTTCTTTTTGCTTCTAATATATTCTTTACAACTCAAACATATTATATGTAGATCTACCACTTTACCATATCTTCCTATTATTATTTCATATTTTAACTGTATAAAAACCTCATATAATCCAACTCAGTTAATACTATAATTTATGCTATTCCTAGTGCTAAAATTGCAAAATCAACAAAGACAGACCCCACAGTTTTTTTTGTAAACATCGACTTTATTTTGGTAAATCATGACTTTATTTTGTAGAAACATGATTTTTTGATATATTTAGTTTAATATGATGTTGAATATGTCATATTTGATCACTCTAGAATAGTCTACATAATATAATAGTGCGCTTGACCCGAGTCAGGCGAGCGCTTTGTTGCACCTAGCGCCTCTGGGGGTACAAGTACTCTAGCGCCTTAAGTGCGCCTAGCGACTTTGACTACCTTGGGCAGTACGCGTATCAACTGATTTCTATGTATTTTTTTATTTCATCATATCCAGTTTTTATGACATTAAACTATCAATATTGGCTTAGGCCTATAATTTAGAGGCTTACGCCTTGCTTTGCCTTGGGGCTTATGTGTTACGGGCAGCTTGTGTGCAGGATCTCATCACAGGCCTTCGGGTGAGTGGGAGGGTAGACTTAGCTTTGGAAGGGTTGGCTATGTTTACTGTTTGGGCAGAAAACTGGGAAGAATATAATTATGCAAACTCTTATCAAGTTGGAATTTTTTGTTGAGAATTCCAGAAACTCCCTTAGACTTTTCTTGCTAAAAACTTGCATACTTTTTCCCTGCATTCAACTGGCCATTAAATAGGCTTTCCAGAGTGGAAAATAAAATAAAGAAAACACCTTAAAAGAAAACAATAATTCAAAGATTGCAATCAGAAAATAACATCTCAGATCTCCCAGGATCTCAAATCCCTGACTGTGACATGTCAATCAGATTTGTCTGATTTATTTGTCTCCCAGATTTGTTTGGTTTTACTTATCTTCCAAATCAGTCTGATTTGTTTGTGTGATTTGCTGATTTTTATCTTTCTTTCTTTTACGGTGATATTGACTTCCTATGAATGCATCATTATGCCCCGTGAGGCAAAGGCCGATGTTGTAGAGGGACCTACGACATTCTAGTGTGGCTCTTCTGGAAAATTCCAGAAATTCCAGAACCTTCTACATGACAACCCGCTCTACTCCTCACAGTTTAAAGGAAACAATGGTTCCTTAAAGTTCAAAGATAACTCTGTCCAAACTGATCCTTCCATAGTCCTTACCAATAAACAAACTTACTCCACATTTAAAGTATTTGTTCAATAAAAATCTTTTTCCAACTGAAATCTCAATCCGGAACTAGACCTTAGTAAATTGTGTGCACAACAAATTATTAAGTAACCAATTTACTTTCTCTTAAGCAGGGGACGGTCTGCGCCACTCATTACCGAGTCACATGCGACGAAAACTTATTTAGTGCTGATGCAATGAAGACGATTTGCCATACCTTGTGTTACATGTAAGTAATACCGTGGGATGTGTATGTTATGATTTTTTGTTTGTGTTTGTCTCAATACAACCTTAAATCATAATATGCATTTATAAATATGTTTTTTTTTCTGCAGTAATGCTGGCAGAACACGAAGTCATCCTACAGGCCAGTACATTATACATGACTTGCACCCACATTTCATATCCAATTTGGTTATTCTTAGTTTCGTGACACTTATTTGTGAAATATTGTCGTGCAGTTATACCATTATACTATGCTCAGTTAGTTGCATCCCGAGCAAGATTTTATTGGAAATCTTCTGATCATGGGCATACCTATTTTCATGTCAGAAAGCAGATGCACTTCTTACCAGACGACATCTCCACATGTTGATACTTTTTTTTGGTAAATACTATTTAGCCTTCTTCCATTCCTAACTAATGTTTACCCCCCCCCCCATTCGCTGTGTTATATATCGTTTAAAACTGTGCCTTGCAATTTTCGGAGAATATACAATGGAAGGCTTATCCCAGAATAGGTAATAAGTCAACTTATGCTTTTTTAGATATGGCTGCACAATATAACAGGGCTGACCTCTGTAGCGCAATCCCCAAATGATTTGTTTGTAATAGTATGCATTTGGTTTGATTACACTCAAAACTAGTATCTTACCCGTGCGTTGTTTACTTAAATTTGCACGGGAGGAAATTAGACCCCAAATACTTAAATTTGGTGGCTCTTATTTACTTGAAAAAATTACACAAATTAATAAGAAGGAATATATTTGAGAATTACTAAGAATATCCCTACAATATGAATAGATTAATAACACTAATGTTTTGTAAAATAGTTCCTCTAAAGTAAAACTAAGAAAGGCAAACTTTGACTCTTTTTTAACCAAATGCTGAAAATTAAAACTAAACAAAGACCATTTTGCCGACTCAACAATAATGTCCATATTCTACCCTAATCATAAAATGGCCAAAACAAAATCTTGTTCTGGAATGGGAATATTATTTTCTGAAGAAGTATAATTTATCAATTGCTATATCCACCAAAGAAGGTACAATAGAAAATCTTGAAATAGTTTTCAAATAGCAATCCCCTTTCAGAGTAATAGACAAAAGATTTTCACTAACTTGTTAGTGCTTATATCATCATGATTGTTATTCTCTATATTAAAAAGAAAAACTTTTTAAAAAACAATACTACGTATCTAATTAATATGGGTGAAGAAATCATACAACTCATAATAAAAACACAAATTTGCAAATATTACACCATCGCTACCATATGTATTATTTTTCTCTAGCATACTTATAAACACTCCATCTATATATTTTTTTAATTAATTTAATAGCGCAATATAGCTCATCTGCATTCTTTAACTGACCCAATCAATACATTTTCTCCAAACAAACTAACCTAGCAGCAGCCTAACTAAAATTCTCACCGAGTCACCGCTTCAGGGTTGCGTAGATTGTATTTGATTCATATTCGAACGGCCACTTGCCTTCTCTCCTATCAACATACTTCCATCACCTCTACATTCTTCTATGATGAAGTTGACTCATCTTCAGCCGCCCTCTGATTTTTTAATTTTTTTCAGTTCAGGAATTGAGAATTATAAATCAGATCCTATTTTAACACCACACTCAATTAAATTAGGTAAGTTTTACACATCTTCCAAAGATCTTTTTCTAATTATTGGAGACTCCACCACATATTTCCTGAAAATTTCTGATTCATCTTCTGCCAATTCTCATCTACTATATTGTCTTCCCACACTAAGTGTTCAAGTATCTATTTTTTTTCTTAGTTTTGAATAGATGTTCTTGATAATATTATTATACTCCGTCTGAAAAGAGATGTTTCCTTGAAGAGTTTACTCATCAAATCTCATTAAAATTTTAGGTGATGCTCGTTAATAAGCTCGTGCTCGAATGATTCGACAAGTATTCAGTTCATTAATAATCATATTTAAGTTCATAAAATCATACTAATTATATTTAAATTTTGATTATATATAAATTATATTTATAATTCCAGGGTGTTCGATAGGCTCGAGTTTGAACCGAGCCGAATAATACTATGTTCGAGGCTTCGAGCTTGGCTCAATTAATTTTTCGAACTTAAAACTTAGCTTGGGTTCGGTTCGAAAGCTCGTTAAGCTCGTCTTATTAGGTTCGAAACCGAGCTCGAACTCGAATAGTTCATAAAGCTTGGTTCGTTAACCGCTCTAGTTCAACCAAAACTGTCCAAGTATTTCTCAAAGTAGGTTTATCATCCACCAATTTTATATTTACAATTTCGTAATCCCATTGATCTATTATTATCATTCTTATATTTTTCTTATTTTGTACGGAGTAAAATTTATTTTTATAATTAATGGCACATCATTTATTTTTATTTTCTTGCACTTTTAATATAAATTTCTCATTTGGATGAAGGCGCACTCAAAATCAAATCGTCAGTAACTTTTCAGAAGTGGTTTTCGATCTTCTGTCTAGCTCCTCTTCTACCTATCTTTTTTTGTGGAACGACTTTTTTGCTTCTTACTTTTCTCTCTCTCTTCTTGTCTCTCTTCTCTATTTGGCATCAATATCATAGATCGATTTAGGTTAGCTGACCCCAAATTCTTTTGGGATTAAGGCTTTGGATGTTGTTGTTGTTGACTCTTTTTATTTTTTATTTGATCGGGCAGGCTTGGATTTCTCTGTGTATTCTGATAGTAAAAATAGTAGTGTGCACCTCTATCAATTTTGTTTTTCTATTTAAAATTCAGACCATGACATATAATCAAGTTTGTTTTTTAAGTTTTCTATTTCATCAAATCGCATACTTTTAGAATTGCTTATACTCAAGCTATCTGCATAATCTCCTAGTCCGTAGGGCATAGAAATTCAAAATAAAACTTAAATGAGTAGTAATACATTTTTTTGCAGAATGCTATTATATTGCCTACATATAAGTGCCAATAGTCTTAATTGGAATCCTACTTCCCTGTATATGGAGATTCAACCAACCCCCTCATGCCTTTTCTAATCAGGGTTGCAAATTGGGTTAGCTCAACTTGAATTAATAACGAGGAGTAAGTATGTGGGTAAAAATAGTTTATACGAAGTATACACTATACAGGAAGCTTGACAGCCCATGTGGATTTGCTTTGATTCACATCTTATTATCATGTTGATTTGATGCAGGCGTTTTATTATTTATATACAGGAACTTATTATTGTGAAGAGATGACATGGAGCAGCCAAAAAGTTAAAGCTGCATCGGAAAGAGTGAGTATACGATACACCCGGCTCTACGGGTGGGAACCGTACAGCCAGGTATTTTTGTGATTTCTCTCAACATTCGACCCAATTAACTATTCTATTATCAGCCTTCATTTAGTCCGCTGGTCATGTGCGTGCTATGAATCTATGATGCCTACGTGGATATGTATTTCACCAGACGTTGCCCATGTTGTTTTAACTTCACCATACTTCACTTCATTCTTAGTCTCAGCCTATGCATTTCACTTCAACAGCCTTTATTTCACTTAACTTCAATCCACCATGCTTTCTGCCTTTCTCTTCATTCATTTTTTTTATTATATCTTTTTATATTTATAACTCTTAATTCACATCGAATTGACTCTTAAAAATTTTGAATACGTTATTTAATAAATTGTCAATAAATATATCTGTAAAAATTATAGCAGTTTTGTAACAAGTTTCGTAATGTTACATCAATGCACATTTATGTTAAACATTGTGCTCATATTAGTGTATAGAAAACTCATTTCATTCTATGAGCATTAGGAGTAGGGTTGGACCGGTTCTGATCCGGTCCAAATCGGGCTTTTTGTGGAGAGGAAGGCCCGAAACCGACCCGGGATGCCACCATGATTAGATGGGTCCTGGCCGGTTCATTTTTTTTGTTTTGCTTTTCTAATTAACCCTGACCCCCCCTCACCCCACCCCCCAAAACACTTAGCCAAGCCGGAAAAAACATAGAAAATTGAAAAAACAAACAAACAAAAAGGCCTGAACTGGGTCTGGCCAGTTCCTATTTTACTTGACCCAGGCCCGCTCTAGATAACACCAGGGTTAAAATAGTACCCGGGTTGGTCGGCCGGTTGCGGTCCATCCCTAATTAGGAGCATAACAATGAGTATCGCGATCTCTGCTTCATATTTTTTATTTACTTTCTTTTTCTTATTTTTTCTTTAAAAAAGTTTTATTAAATTACATCTATAATCATTTTCTACAAATTTCAATATTCGAATCTAATGTAATATTGTACTTTTAAATATGCATTGATATGACATTTTAAAAATGAGCATAACATGAATACTGGTTCAACATACATAACTTACGAAATGAGCATTGACATGAAAAGTTTAAGTGTTTTTTAGTTGAGTATCAAGATATTTTCATTTGATCATCAAACCCTCTCTATTGAGTCTTAGAACATGTGATGAGTATCCTCGTCTATGCTCTCGTATCTATAACTTCTTTCACGTGATGACGTGAATTTAATGTAATATCATACTTTAGAAATATGTATTGATATGATATTTTAAAATGAGCATAACATCAGTATCAAATGAGCACATGTAACTTGCAAAATGAATATTGATATGAAAACCATAAACTTGATTAGTTGAATGTTAAAACATTTTCATTGAGCAACAAACTTCCTCTGTTGAGTATTAGAAGCATGCAATTGAGTATCATGATCTCTGCCCTCTTGTATATAATTAACTCCTATAAATGTGATTGTAATATATTATATGTGATTGTAATATATGATATTTTTGAAATATGCATTGATTTGACATTTTAAAATGAACATAAAAGCATTATTGGATGAGCATAAATGACTTATAAAACAAGTATCGAAAAAATAAAAAGCTCATTTGAACTCTCTAATTTGTGCACAAATATTCATTGTTGTGTTCATTTCTTTTAATTGTCATACTCATTCCAATATAACATAAAATCTTTTATGTAATATGTACTTGTATTGTAGTAGAATATTTATCAACAATTCATTAAATTATCATCATATATAAATATGAGAAAATAAAAATAACTTAGTCATTCGTTCTTGAATTGCAAATATAATCGTATTCTTTTTATAATGTTCACTCATACACATTTATTTTACACAATACTCATTTTAATATAACGTAAAACTCATGTTAGTAATTAATATTAATACACAATATGTAATAGACTAATAAGCATTCATCTTAAAATTGAAAATGGAAAAAATAAAACATTAATACCTAAAATATCTTATAGTGCACAAACTAAAAAGGCAAATATCAGACTATTTATTTTATACAATCTCTTAATATTTTAATATAAAACAAATAAATAAAAAGTGGTTAAAGAAAAACTAACAAAAAAAGAACGAAGAAGCTAAAAATTGTAAGCAAGTCAAATTAGTAGGCGGAAAAAATTGCCATATATATACGTAAACTAATTATGGGTGTGTTTACTTTTTTTCCAAGTCCTGAATGGATTAAGATGTTTGTCTGGATTACGTTGTCTGACTGGATTAAGTGACAGTGAGATAACATACTGTTTACTAAGTGTGCTGAATGAGAAGTCAGAATCACGTCAAATGACCAAATAACCATTCTGTTTGGAACAGGTACTGAATGTATATTGTCTGTTTACTTTCTCTTAGGGGTGGGTTCGGTTCTTGCGGTTCAATTTCGACCTAAAACCAAATATAGTTACAAATTAAAAAGTCCGGTTCGGTTTCGGTTTTACGCTCCAAAACTTGGAACCACTGTTTGATTGGTTCGGTTTGTTTCGATTCAGTTTTTGTTTCGGGTTTACCAAAAAATTATCATTTGATGTAAAATTGTTGTAATACTTTGAGGGATCAAACATATTACATAAAAAACGCAAGAACACTACATACAGCAAATAAAATAAAAATGAAAATTAATAATATGTCTTGAATTATATGAGTATGCGGGAGAGATAAAAGTTTATATACTATTAATTTACATTGTTTGTGACTAGTTTCATAGGATTTTCACGAGTATATACGTTCTATGTGATATATATAGTTGAAATGAATATTTATTGTTTCATCAATATGAATTCTTTAAGTTAAATAAAAATAAAAGTTAATTAATATTAATAACTAGTAAAAACATAATATCATCATTCAGTATAGCTATATTATTACAGCTAATGAATGTGTAAATGAATTTATAAACTAAACTAAACATAACACAAACATTATTTCTCTAGCACAACAAAACCAAAGATTATTCTGGATATTAGGATTAGTTAGGATTAATGCTTAACATCTGATAAATAAATTTTATGTTTTAATTAGTTCGGTTTATTCGGTTTAGTTCAGTTTTGAAGGGTAAAAACCAAAATCGAACCAAACAACTACGGTTCGGTTCGGTTTTTTACATTTTGTTTTGGTTTGTTAGCGGTTCGATTTTATTTGGCTACGGTTCGGTATAATTTGATTCGATTTTCGGTTTTCGGTTTTTCTGACCCAACCCTACTTTCTCTTTTCTGAAACATAATTTCATATGAATTATTAAAATAAAAAAGTTACATTACATGATAAGAAAAAAGCCAAGCATTTTACGAGAACAACACTTTAAATCTAAACGTTTTCACTAGTCTATTTGAGATTTCATCCCGCAACTTCATCATATATCCTAGACTTCCTCATGTGCATGTACTTCTCCAATATCTTCTCCTTCCTCTTGGGCTTCATTAAACAATTTGCATGTTACATTCAATCCTTATTTTTTATAATTAACTGTTATGAAATTAGCTAAATTATACAACAACATCTAAGGAAAAACACATGAGAAAATCATCCATGAACAACACAACCAATCCAATGGTCAAAGACACGAATCTCGGATACAGAGCAATACAAACAAAAACACATGAGAAAATCATCCATGAACAACACAACCAATCCAATGGTCAAAGACACGAATCTCGGATACAGAGCAATACAAACAAAATATGAACCTGTACAAAAACAAATCACAGCGGCCTAGAGCTGTGCATAAGCCTGAATCGTTCATTATTCAAAGCAAAGAACTCATAAGATTAAAAAATCACATAAAGCTACAACCTCAATGCAACAAAATAAATAAATAAATAAATAAATACAAAACTTGAAAAAGAAAAAGAAACTTTATGTAACTTAAATTACAAAAATCTAATATAAAACTATTGAACAACAAAAGCATGAAGTATAACCATACGCCGTATGTCATTTAAATTACAAGAGTGCCGTAAATATAAAATTCTAATGAATTTACCTAAAAATTCGAAATTGCAAGTGCATAGGTAGTGAAAACTATAATAGAGAACAAGGATAAACTCGGGAAATACAAACCAAAATAAATAGAAAACATGAAATATACCTGTGCATGAGACTCTTCCACTAGCCACTTGTTGTTACCTCTGTAGGACTGGTCCCCCCACCCTATAAGATGAATTCCATAAGTTTTATCCAAAATAATGTTATCCCCCTCACACACCAATGGACCAAACTTATCAGAATGACCAATAATCTCATAGATAAAACAAAAGTTTAGGAGCTTTTCATATTTGAAATCAACCCAATGTTCACACCATAATCCGCATACTAGCCACCTGTTTTTCATCAAATTGGCTTTCATCAAAACTAACAAACTTTCCAACATAGTTACCAATCCTCCTAGTCGTTCCTAAACTCATAAGAAACATTATGGACCTGTATGGCTGTACCCAAAACTCATCTTCATTTAGGCTAATATTGAGAGGAATATCCTCCGGTCTAGTTTAATTGGGAATCAACAAATTCCTCTTAAACAACCATTGACCATCCTTTAAAACACGCCTCATATCCACTATATGATAAAAAGTAAAAATATATAGTGGGGGTGTTTGGTTAGGAGACTATCAATCATTTTTTGGCTAATTTAACCGCCTTTTAGCTTTTTGACCAAATAAACAACTAATTCATGTGTTTGGTTAATTGGCTTTTAAACTTGGCCTTTTGCATCAAACAGCTAAAATTTTAAAAGCCAATGAACACAGCATTTTGGACTTAGGCCGCTGGAATATTTATAGCGAATTCCGATTGTGCCCACATTACCTCCTTTTGTTCCTGTTCGACACTTCGTTTTCCATTTTGGCCGCATGCTTATTTAGGGAGTGTTTGCAACAACTTAAAAAAACATTTCTCAGCTTTTGGCTTACAAAAACACTTATTTACCAAACACTACTAATTTTTACTTTTTCTCGGCTTGCGTGTGAAAAGTGTTTTTCTCTTTTATATTATACAAAAAGCACTTATTTTACCAAACACTACCAACTTTTACTTTTCAAAATCATTTTTTTTCTCAAACACTATCAACTTTTACTACTAATCACTTTTTCCTTACATCTCCAAAAGTGTTTTTTTAAGCAGAAACAGTTGCCAACACTCCCTTATAATTCACCATTAGAGACAAGGCCTCAAATACTGTACAACTATGGGGCATGGGCTATCCATCTATCATGACTACATGATTAAATAAATTATAAATACGAAGTATATAATAATAATAATATTATACTACAATGAGTTTAATGTTTGGACATGTTTTGCA